TTCTATTCTTGGCACACAGAAAGGGGCGCAAAATCTTCAGCTGTTCCTGGGCGCTGAAAACCATAGCTACGCCTCTGGTGTGATGGGAGACTTCATAAAATATTGAGAAAATTCATGGCACCTTTGTTTCAAGTACGGTAATATGTAAAGAGACATTTTAAGCACGTGTAAAATCCAGGGTTTTAGGGAAAAAGCCCACAGGAATAATGCTCACAGGTATAAATGCTCACATGAAAAAAGCCCACACAGAAAAAAGCTAACATGGAAAAATGCTCACACGGAAAAAAGCTCACATAGATATATGCTTACATGGAAATAAGCCCATTGATAAGTAAAATACGTAGAAATATCCTTACATTAATCAATAATTAATCTATCTGAACATCGTACACCTACTTAATTTTTAAAAGAAAAGCTATTTAATCATTTGAAAAAATTATGGGACAAATGCTCACATTAACCTTTGCAGGGGCGGTATATAAAAGAATGAACACAATAGTAAAATCTTGCATGTACTATAATATTTTATACCCACTGCCTCTGTACGACATTTTTATTCCTTGTAACTGCCAATAGCTAATTTTTGTTTTAATGTACTCTGTTATTTGCATACTTTAGTGTAAGTTGTATCTAGTAGATAAGTGATGCTTGAATGAAGTTATTTAAGTTTGGAGCCAAACAAGTTCTAGAAGACCACAGTTTCCAACCGAAGTGAGGAATCATTATGAGGCAGCTTCCGAACCACAAATAACCAATCCAATCTCCTAAAACCACAAATCGTTACGAAAGCGTTCATAAGGTACTAAATTCATTATTTAATTGTAACCATCCCAGTATGTGGTTTTTATTTGACGGACTGAAAAGAGATTTAGCCTGTCAACGTTTATTATTAGCTATTGTAAATACAGGGTGCGCTGAAGTTAAAAAGAAAATATGAAAACTTACATTTGGGAATCGCGAATAATGTAAGAAATATAATGAAATCGATGATAAAATTAGATATTTACACATATTAGCTAACATTCAGTAATTTTATGTATTTATAACTTTTTGAAATGTATATTTATGATTTATATATAATAAGGTATTTTACGTAATTTAAATAAAATAATTATTTATATTTGCTTATTCTTCTAAATGTTTATATTATAAATGTGTAACTGATATTTACTATTATTTTATTTTTAACAATTAAAATTGTAATAATTTTCACTATATATTCTGTTTAATTTTTCTTTCTTTCTTCTTTCCTTTTCATAATCCAAAACAATCCATTTGTTAATCTTATATAGCAACTGAATCTATACATAAGTTATACAGATTTTGATATATATATATATATCAATGTTTTGGTAATTTAAATAATTTTCTTTGGAAAATTCAACTAGGTGTATGATGTTCAAATCGATTAATTATTCATTGATTAATGTAAGGATGTATCTAAGTATTTTATTTATCAGTGGGCTTATTTCCATGTGAGCATATATCTGTGTGAGCTTTTTTCCGTGTGAGCATATTTCTAAGTGAGCATTTTTCCATGTAAGCTTTTTTCTATGTGGGCATATTACTGTGTGGGCTTTTTTCCTGTTAGCATTTATACCTTTGAGCATTTTTCCTATGAGAATTTTTCCTGTGGGCTTTTTTCCTGTGGGCATTTTTCCGGTCACCAGGAAAACTGCTAAAACATCCATGCAGCTAATTCGTTCGCACCCCTGATTCAGCGTTCAAGCGACTTTATCACTCGGCCGCTGGTCGGCAAACTTTCACACAGAATACTAACAGCTTTTGAATAAGTCGGGAATTAGTTTCCATATTTTTACTCATTAACTAGCAAAAAACATTTTCCTCTTGATTTATTTCTTTAACTGAGAGTACTTTTTGTTTTTTGAAGGCAAAGGCTTGTAAGGCATTTTTTTAGTTGGATGCTAGAGGTTTTGAAGTACGGTCGATTACCGACGAGTCAAATGGAATTAATCTGGCCCTGTGTATTCAAAGATTTAAATTAGGTTATAGGAACATGGCAAAATACGCAAGGACTCCCTGCTTAATGGGATGTATAATTTCGTGGAGGACTTCCTAAGGGCAATTGGTTCTTTTATGTTATACATAAAGAAAACCATGAAAACCAACTATGTAGCCAACCTGTTGACCTGGTGGTCTAACCCGGGTCTTCCAGTATTCAATATTCGTAAACATTCAACCACTGATGTAGCCCTGTATGTGTATTAAAAACATGCTTATCATGAAAGAATAAGAAATTACTTTCAAAAATAGCTCAGTCACTCATAACACTGTTCAAGTTGCCTTGTAAATATTTATTAATACCATTTATAACATAGTTTCTTCTTTATAATGATGTTCATTCTTCCTTATTCAGAAGCATTACTGATGCTGTAGTTCAGTATTCAAAGCAGAAAGGTATCCTTTTAGCTTTGAATACTGATCTACACCATCAATGGCCGAGCAGTTAAGTTAAAGACCGCTGAATCTGCATGGTTGTTTTTCCTCCCCCCCCCCTTGGAAACCTGAATACGACTCAGTTTTTCGAAGCTAGTTGGTTGGTAAAATTACCGATTCAAAGCTAAGAATGGCTATAATGCATCAAACACAAGTCAAATGTAATCTATTTTGCTATTAAAAAAAAAAAAAACTTTTTTTTTTTTTTAATGAAAACAAATAAAATACTAATGAATACGAGTTAATGTCAAGGTAAATAGATTCATGAAATACGAAGAATGAAAACAAAACTAACCAGGTAAAATCGTAAAACTGAAATGTATTACAATATATAATACTGAGATAAAAAAGTATCTACTTTAAAATCAAATTAAATAAAATGAATACATAAAAATATCTCTTTTTATATTGAAATGAGTTGGTACTGATCTCTTTACTGATTACAGGATCAAGAAGCAAATCAGAGTAGTTAAAATACTTCATTTGAAGTCTTTTAAAATATATTTTTAAAAAAATTAAAAAAGATGAACTGACCGCGTTACATTTGGAACGATCAGATTCAGTCTCCGCTTCTAAGGAGTAATTATGTGTCATTCGAGAATGATTGTTTCTAAGGCAGTCAAAAAAGCCTCCTCTTTCCGATTTCTTGCAGCCTCCCAATGCTATGTTCTGGGTTTTATGATTCTTAATTTAATATGAAGCCGAATATCCCGCAATTGCTACCATTTATCAGGTTTTTTTTTTTTTTTTTTGGATGATCCTTTGTTTCCTTTTCTTTTTTATTTAATATAAATAAGCCCTCTAGCGGCAGAGCGTTAAAGTCACTAAAGGCTGTTCGTTCGGTCCGGGGTAATTTATTGCCTTTAGCTAATGCAAATTTAAGGAGTATTCGTACATGCAGTACAAGAATTCAGACTTTTAAAATTATTTAATAATTTTTAGTATATTTCACAATAAACTCACTAATTTACAAAAGCTTTTATATTTATTCTCTAGTCACTTTAAAATCATTACTCCGAATTCCCAATCATCTGTGTGCAGTTTATCCGTATTATGAAATATCCATACATCATCCTAAGGGCGGATTGTAATCTGAGTTTCCTATTCAGATTCAATTTAATACCTGAAAATATTTTAATTTAAGCGGTTAAAATGAGCCTGCTAGTAAGAATTAATCCCTCCTCTTAAAATCAAGGTGCAGAATAATGTATTTGAAATAAGCTATTCCCAATAGCAATGCCAAACAATACGGCGAGAGGAAAACCCTGCTATAATATTATTTCATCATAAATTAAAACCACTTATTTAAATTTTAAAAAAATCGTTATTTAAGGAGTAACTGTCATTTTTTCTAAGTAAATTGCTTTATACGAGGTTCGCAACAAATAGTTTTCGCAGGTGTAACAATTAATATTTTGACAGGAAGTGAAGTTTGTTTAGTGGTAAAAATAATAACTGATTATTGGTATTAAAATTTTCTGAGAGTGATCTTTGAAGAATACGAAAAACATGTCAGCTTTGAAAGAAATCTGCAGTTTTTGATGCAGTGAATTTCATTACTAAGCTTACGTTTAATGTTAATTTATGACCGGAAAAAGAAAATAAGATCTCTCACATCAAAAGAAGATTTTACTGAAGAAAAGTATCCGCTTTTATTAAAATAATTTCTGGTATTTAGGGATTTTAAAACGTAAGGAAGGAAAATATGGAAGAATAATTGTAGAAAGAAGAAGAAAGAGTTTTTTTTCTCCTTCTTTTTTTTAAGGGATGAGGATATTCTGGATGCAGTTGCTCATGAGGAGGAAGGGGCAAAAGTGAAAAAACAAAGATGAAACATACTAGGCCACTAGAATGTGTACTCCAATTATTAAAGACTGTACGCTCAAGCGGATATCCCCATTTGTTTAACCCCTTTGGTTTGACCAATTTCGCCAAAATTCTGCATAATTACAGAGGATTTTACATTAAATGTATAAGATGTGTCTCTTTTTTTCCACATAAACTAAACTAGATCTTACAAAGACTCCTGACGATTTCTCGCCCAGGGGTGCATTAAATTACCATAACATAAATCAATTCAAGTCTAAACAGAATAGTGCTGGATTAGCACCTTAAGTTACGCCTAGTTTAGATTCACTCAACAAGCCTAACAGGAGTAACAATTATCCGAAATGGCCATGGCGCGTATTATCAGCAACAAGCGTGCCCTGACTAGAGAAAACACGCGTTGAATAAACTCCAAGATTCCCCCGTTTGAATACTCACTTCATTTAACTTTTAAATTTACATCCTGGCAAGGAAATACGAGGAGAAGTTGAGGAGTTCAGGAAAGAAAACAAAAATTTGAATAAAATGTAGTTAACTGAAGGAAACCCTACAAATCTGCACACTAAAAGAAAAATCGCGTCTCTTAAAAATAAATGAACAAATCCAGAGGCTAAATTTCTAAGCAACATTTATATTGTTACGGTTTTTGTATTCAGTTTGCTATTTTTAGTAAAATTGTAATTAAATTGTTTCCTTTCCCCGTTCTATCAAGGCCATCTTGAAGAGAAGGTCCAATCCAAAGGGGTTCTCCCCTGCTGTGACGTCACGAGCGAGGGCAATGGTAGTAAGGCCCTCTCCAAAACAGTGTGAGTGTAAGCAGAGCGTACGTACGATTAAAAGCTAGAAGGTATGTAGCATTAACTATTCCTTAACTGTAGTAAATTTAACTTTTAGCAAGATGTATCGAAAGTTAAGTATATTTACTAGCTCACTTTAATGCTTTCTTTTAATTAATTCTGTTTTCACCTGTACTTTTTAAAGTTAGATAATGATTCAAAATAAACACTTTTATGATAAATGAAAGCTAAAGAGATCCCCCCCATTTTCATTCATGGTCTAATACATATTTATTACATACGCCATAACACTCATGTTAGATATTATAACAATCTAGTAAATTTCTCTTGTATCTTTCATTTTCAAACTATGCATCAAACACGAATCTTGTAATGCTTTATTGGAATGATTCCTTCTTCTAAATTAGACAAGAATAATAGTATTAAAAAAATTCTTGAAAGTTAAAAAATATTGAGTTCGAGTTTGTACATATATTTTGTACAGTCACTAAGCTTTAATAGGAGTGTATTAATAATTATATTCTACAGTATATTTATTATATAGCATTAAACAATTCACTGTAATTCCTTTCCCTTTAGTTATTATTTAATTAAGATGCATCATACAGTGTTAATTGAATTTTTACAGATGCCGCGAAAATGTAGCGTTCCGGGATGCAAGTCAAATTACTATGCAAACGAAGATCATATTACAACTTTTAAGTTCCCCAAAGATGATATGCTGTGTAAAACATGGATTAGTAAAATTAATAGGAAAGACTTTGTACCGGGACCATGTGCTTGTGTATGCATTTTGCATTTTGATGAACGTTTCATCATAAGAGACGATAGAGCAACACGACCTGATGGGACAGTATTAACAGTTCAAAGAAAAGTGCCAGTTTTATAGAAAGATGCATATACTACTATTTTCTTACGGTCAACCTAAATATTTATCTTGTTCTTTACCACAAAAGCGAAAGACACCAGAAGACAGGACAAGAGAAATAAACGAACGGCGTGAAAATAATTTAAAAAAACTGTGTGCTGCAGACAAACATTGCCTCCTTTTCAGAATTTTTGAAACTTTACAGCAATAAATGGCCAAATACATGGGCAATAATGAAAGCATGTGATATATATATATATATTTTTTTTGCGTATTGAGATGGAAGATTGTCCATCAGTCACTGTGTCATTTAAAGACGAGCATGATTTAACTGTTTCAGTTTTTCGTGAAGGTTTAAACATAACAAGTATGTTTGAATGGCTTTTGGGAAAAGATCTATTATGTAATAAATGGTCAAAATTTGAAAACCTTTCAAATCATCTGTACAATTATGAGAAAACCTCAAAAACAGTCGAAGAAATGCTGGATTTGGTAACTGAAACTCTTCAGAAGTGTTCTAAAAATACATCAGAACAGATTATGATTTACCGATTAAATTTTTTTAGGGAACAGATATCATTACTGAAAGCTAAACGCCCAACCTACACAGCTGAAATGATGATATGGGCTTGCACATTATTTTATAGCAGCCCTACGTGTTATTCTCGAATACGAGAAAGCTCGTCCTTGATTTTACCACATCCTTCCTACTTAAAAAAGTTAGCATTAAATGTTGGGTCGACAACGGGGTTAAATGCAAAGTATTTATCTCATAAATCTTCACAACTACAAAATCATGAAAAGGCTGTGAATCTTTTACTTGATGAGATTTATATTAAACCTACTGTTGCATATAAGAATGGTAAAATTGAAGGCTTGTCATGTACAGATATGTCTCAAGAAGCTTCTACAATTCAAACCTTTATGATTTCTTCAATCTTATCTTCAAATAAAGAAGTTGTTGCAATGTTTCCTGTCCATAATCTCAAGCCAAACGATTTAAAAATTCAAACTTTACAGGTGTTAAAATTTGTTCATGATTGTGGCTTCGAGGTTGTTTCCATAATTTCCGACAACAACTATGTTAACCGAAAAATGTTTGAAATGCTATGCAATGGTCATATGGTGTCTGCTATTGAAAATGAATTTCGTTTGGGAAAAAAGATTTTTTTATTATTTGATTCAGTTCATTTACTGAAATGTATAAGGAATAATTGGTTAAACCAAGCTGAAACCAATCAAACCTTTAATATTCCATCTTTTGATGATACAGATAATAAGTTGTACTGTGCAAGTCAACATAGAGCAACAGCATTCTATAAAAATAGCTCCAGCTCTTTCGAAAAACGTTCTATATCCAACTTCTTTAGAGCGGCAGAATGTTTCTACTGCCGTTAAACTTTTTGATGAAAAGACTGTTGCAGCATTACATGTCGAATTAAAAGAAAACAAAACAGGATATGGAGAAACTGTTAAAGGAACAAAATATTTCATAGAAACAATTTTGAAATGGTGGAGTATTGTCAATGTTAAACATCCGCGGAAAGGACTACATTTAGCAGATCCGAATCGTGAACCAGTATTTTCAATTAATGATGATAAAATTAAATTTCTCGAAAATTTTTGTACGTGGTTGATAAAATGGAATGGTGATGACAGGAAAAAGTCCGGAAAAACTGTTGGTCGACTCACCAAAGAAACATATCATGCACTGAAACATACAACCACAACTTTTATCTAGCTTTCGGATTATTTATTAAAGAATTTAAAATTCCAGTATGTGCTGTATGGAAAATTTCAAACAGACAATTTGGAGGCAAGATTTGGACAATATCGCCAAATGAGTGGTGCAAATTACCATATTTCACTGACTCAGGCTTTAGAATCTGAAAAGAAACTCCAGTTAATTAGCTGGATGAAATTGAATTCTTCAAAAAACGGGGAGTTCACAATAAAGACATTACAAACGGATAATGATGATTTCAGACAACAGTACTGAATGTAGCACTGAAAGTTTAATGAAATTATTTCCTTTTCACAAACATTTAAAATAACGGAAAAAGATATGAGAGTATTAATTTATATAGGTGGATATGTGGCTCGAAAAGTCTCTAATAAAACAAATTGTTCAAAATGCAAAAATATTCTACATTCTGATAAGGTTTTAGAATGTGAAAATAATCTTTCAGATTATTTGGAGTGCATCGATAGAGGGGGGGGGGTTATTGTGGCCTACTGAATTTTTTGTATATATTATTGCAGTTACATTTCAGATATTTTCAGGGACTTATTTCAGAACATTATGAAACTGACATTTTATGTGCCGACAACCAAAAACTTTTATTGATACAGCTTTCTGAAGAAAACCTAGATCTCATGAATATTGGATCTATACAGTTAATATGTTCATGTAAAATGGAAATTGGTAAATTTCGACGGTTATGTTTATCCTCAATTTCAAACATTTTATTGAATAATTATACTAAAGTTCGTAATGATCGTTTTAAAAAGCAAGCAAAACCCCAGAAAAGGAGTGTGTGTGATTATGGCAAAGCCTCGAGGGCTATCTGCCTAAGGGGAGGGATGCCTTCGTGGAGGACTTTCTAAGGGAAACTGGCTTGTATACACGTTACACATGGGGAAAACCACGAAAACGCCCATGTAGCCAGCCCGTTCGCGGGATTTGAACCTCGGACCGAACTACCAGTGTTCAGCCACTTTACCGCTCGGCCGCTGGTGGGCCCCCTCCTAGAAAAGGAAAAACCAATCCTTATTAATACAGTAATTTAATATCAGTAATCTGGAGTCACTTGTTTAACATGCTTCGGTGAGTATACATTAATAAGGTTAATACTATAGTTACAACGTTTTTTCATAACCTATTACAATAAAAATATTAATTATGTTAAGCAAATTATTATTCCTTTATATTAACTTCAGTTAAATGTAATATCTGAAATTTATGAAACAAATGTTTTGTTGTGAAAATAAGTATTTCTTAATTGCTGCAAATTTTTACATTGAATATCTTTCTATATGTGTCTATAAATAACAAATGCAAAAAGAATCAATATGTTTTTAATATTTATTGAGCACGTGTAAATAAGCTTTAAATTTTTTTATTTAGTGAAAATTATTCAGGATAAATAACTGGTGGGTGTTTTTATTTTGATATTCAGTATGAAGTAATAAGTATATTAAATTTTAATTTGTTTATTAATATACGTATATTTACTATTCTGAAAAACATTATATATATATGTGTGTATGCATATTTCTGCATGCATTTGTGAATGTCAAAATTTGAAGAAATGAGAATAATGTGTTTTGTATATTATGAAGTTACATCTAAGAGAATGGCCTCAGATTTTGTATTCATTTTATATGAATGAAAATCTATGTGTAAATTAAATAATGAAGAAACGGAATGCATTTATTTTGCTATGTTTCCAGATTAATTAAAAAGTAACATGTTTTCAATTATATGATATAAACAATTATATGTAAATAATGAGAAAACTTATCTGAAAAGCGTAACTTTCTGTTGAATGTCAGTCCTTTGAGTAAATCTGAAACATAAATTTTTGAAGCTTTCGAATTTCTGGGTAATTTTTTATATGAGAGAAGCAAAAACATAGTTTTTTGTATTGCTTGTAAATAAGTGAAAATATTTAGTTATGATTTAATTTTTGAATGCAATTCACACTGCGGTTAAAAATTTGGTATAATTTTTCCATTTTAACCGGTGTAGAACTATTTGATTTTGCAGTATTTAATGCTATTAAACTGCACATAATGTTATGTAACAAAAGTATAGTATTGCAAAAAATGTTACTATTAGCAAGCAAAAATTAATATTATTTGAGAAACTACCCTTAGATGCACCCCTGTCGTCTAAGTGTAAAAGATTAGTACTCAGTTTTTCAGTATTTTTTGCTACTAATGCTTATAGGAAGAGAAAAATATTTTTATTTTTTTCTTATATTCTATCGGGAAAAAGAAAGCACGCTGATCGAAGATTATCTTGGCTGACCGCCCCTGGCTGTGACGTCATCAAACGTTAGCTCCGGCCTTCTCTTCAAGATGGCCTTGGTTCTATGCTGCGCGCGACCAACGAGATATATACTGGTAGTAGAGAGAGTATCTGCAACCTCCAACCGGTTCCAACATTAGTGTCATGTGACTGCTGGTCGAATTCCGAAAGTCCGGAAATACGAGTACTTTACATTTATTTCTATTGGACGAAAGACGCCTGCTCTGCTTGGTCATATAAAATTTAAGAAAAAATGGTTATCCGCTGCAGCGCCTATGGATGTAAAGAAAGTTTTGTAAAAGGACCTGTAACCTTTCATAGCTAAGTTAAAACTGCATGATTTATTATTTTATTTCCAGTGTTTTTGTGATTTTACTATCTCTGTTGAATTGGTTGGAAAGTTTCAGCCATATTGTATAAGAAAATTTTCTCTGTATATGATTTTTTCAGCATGTAATAATAGCATCAAAATGCATTAAATACTGTGACACTATTTACTGGAATCACCTTTTATAAATAACTGAATGTAATGAGATAAGATTGTGCGATATGTTTACTTTCTTAAAAAAAAGCTAAAAATCTTGATTCATGCAATATTGAACATAAGCATTTAAACAACATTATTTTAAAAATTAGATTACTTTTATAAAGCTCAGTGCTTTATCATAATTTTCTATAAAATCAATTAAAATAAAAATAATCTGGGCTATAATTCTCTCATTTACGATGCTGTCGGAAATTTATCGTAATTGAAAAATATGATGTGGAAATTTACAATATTTTAAATAGTAATTATTTAAAAAAAAGAGAGAATTTTTAACTGTAATATCAGTTTGTTTTGTTTAATCCTAAAGATAAATACTGAGTTGAAGTTTATTATCGTTTGATACATATTGAATATAAAATATTTGTTATAGTTAATAAGATGTATTGAATCCCCATGACATACACATGAGTGTGGAAATCAGTAATTAAGATTGCATTATTTTGTTCAAATAAAATAATCTCAAGAAAAAGGACGTGGTGCTGATTTTAGAAGTTTAACCTACATGCAGTGATATATAATTGAGTTTGTTAAATAGATTTTTATTAAGAAAGAATTTTTGATGGCAAAATCAAAGTATTTTTGATCAACATTGCCTTGAGCAGAAATATTTTCCCATCTATCATCATCAACAATCTAATTTGAAAGTAACTCAAATTTTCTTTTAAATTCGCACTTGACCCTCTTTTCTCCAGAAGACACCCTTTGACCTGTAATTTGATGTGTTAAAAATTCTGTTTTTGAATGTGTGTGCTATTGTAAAAGAATTTTAAGAGAACTTTAAGGTGGTTCAAAAGGACCCTTTTGGTTTCCATTCCAATACAGAAATACAAAATACGAATTTTCATGTAATAAAACGTTAAGGGGGGAATGCCACCTCCCATATACACACAAAAAAATTATTGCTTTGACTCTAGTTGTAGATATATATACATTTCCTTCCAATGAAAAATCACTACACTTTTAAAATTTCATGATATTTTTCAGCATGTACTTAAAGAATTCTTAAATGATTCTGAAATATTACCATTCTTCTGCAGTATACCTGTATGGCCTGGCATATATATATGTGTGTAATTTAATACTTCATTTGCTACTTTAGTACAATTAAGTTTTTTTTTTTTTTTTTTTTTTTCATTTATAGTATAAAAAAATAAAGTTTCCATCTCAATTTTTTATTAGTTACTTTAGATTATCTTCCTAAAATTATTAAATAAAATTTTATATTTAATTAAATATATATTTCATCAATTGCATAAGTACATATTACGATGTGATTTTCTTTTTCTCTTTAGGATGCAATGCATTAAAAATAAAAGAGATTTTTTTACCTTCTCAAATATTATAACAGTATTATAATTAATTTTTAAATGTTATTCAAAATTAAAGTTTCCATCTCAATTTCTCATCATTTATTTTAGATTTTCTTCCTAAAATTATTTAACCTAAACATCTTAAACAACGGTGCAAAAATTTTATAGCGATTATTAAAAATATAGATAAAATATTCAGAAAAAAACATTTAGTTATATCTAAAAATAATTGTAAAAAATCGAATAATCCAATTCGACATCGTTATCTGTTGACTGCCTCACTCCCTGCCATATCAAAAGCGCGCCAAACCGGAGATGAACATCCTAAGCTATTACTCCCAAAGAGCGCCAAGACCATAAATCACGTGGTGTATGTTGGGGTTCCGCTAGAAGGTGAATTCCCAGTGGAATGAGCCGTTTACGGGTTATATGACGTCGTTGCAAGCCACAAGTTTTAGGGGAAAACTGCGTCGAAAAATTAAAAATACAGGAGCACGCGCATTTTAACATTTAATAAGTAGATATCTCATAATTGTACTCTTTGGCTTTCGAGAAACGTCGAGAAAATAATAGAATGTTCTCTGCATGATTAAAGCTTATAAAATCCTGATTAAAACATCTCAGTTCAGTTGTTTACTTAGTTCTTGTTGTTGGTTGAAGCGAATTCGCGTTGAGATCGGATTAGCTTTCTCTGCTTTGGATTGCGTTCTGTTTAACGTTGAAGTAGTTTAAAATATAACTACTGTGAGATATTGCGATATTGTACGAATATCTCTGAGAAAATTTCAGCATTTTGTTTTATTTCTTGAGATAAGAATAAATTTTATTAACTTTTTATCAACTTGTGCTTTCAATCCATTACAAGCCCGTACGCACGCAACACTTTTTGGTGTCAGGACAATGCCAATCACAAGAGCACTGGAAGAGCAGTTAAGACAGCTGATAGACGCCTTTGCTGCATTTAAAGAGGAAATGTAAGCGCCCCAAGAAGAGATGAAAGCGGGCCAAGAGAGAAGAAAGTTAGTCAAGAAAAGATATTGAAACAGGATAAAAAGCGATGAAAAGAGAAATTACCTGCGTAATAGACAATAAATTTGAGGCTATGGAAGGAAGGCAGAATAGACACGGTTGAAAATAAAGTTGGACAAATTGAAGAAAAAGTTTCTTCTGTCAAGGCACAAATAGAAGAGAGAGTTTCTGTTGTGGAACAGCGAATCGAAGGAAGAGTTTCTGCCGTACAACAACAAATCGAACAACAAATTTTTGACAGGGTTTCAGAAGTTGCGAAAGAAGTTGATACCTTGAAGAAACTCGTTGAGATACCAGATGGCTTACAATTTTACCAATGCCTGCTGATGGGATTCCCAAACTAAGGTCTGTCATCTCGCCGCTTCTCTGAGAGCAGACGCTGCGGATATTCTTGAAACTCTTCCAGAAAACCAGAGACTAGACTTCGTAGCTCTATCCGGCGCGTTGGACCTGCGCTTTAACGAGAAGTGTTTAAAAGATTACAACAAACTTCAAGTAAGGTCCCGTCAACAAAAGCCCACGAAAATACTCCAGGAATTCGCCACAGATGTTTAAAGGCTGTCTCATCTCGCCATTTCGGAATGCCCGACAAGAACAAGGGAAATTCTGTCTCTGCAATACTTTATCCATGGCATCCGGGATTCCGAAATACAGAAAGCTCTACGAATGGCGGATGTCAAGAACTTGAAAAATCGCTCTAGTATACGCCATGAAACTCGAGGCAGCCCAGCAAGGAACTCGCGGAGATCGCTACCTAGTCAGAGCTGTGCGAGTCTACGACCCAGTAGATTAATTGACGGCTCGTTTAGACGATTTGTCCAGACAAGTGAGTGCCTGATACGGAATAGGAGTGAGAACAAATTGGCTGAAAAGTGTTGGAAATGTGGTACTGAGCGTCACATACGACGGCATTGCAGATCTCCCCAGGGTATGGAAGAAACAGATTGCTTTACCAAACAGGTGAGTGCCTTGAGACGAAACAGGAGTGAAAAGAAACCAATCCTAAAGTGCTGTAACTGCGGTGCTGAAGGCCACATACGAAGGAACTGCAGAACACGGAAATTAGACTATTTCCCAGAAAAGACGGAGGAAACAAATTAATGATAATATCAAGGAAGGGAGGTTGCCAGATAATAAAAAACACCGTTTTAAAGCACTGAGGAGTGAGTGGTAACAGTAATGGACTATCCATCAATGGGCATATCGATGGAATTCCTTGCAGTATGATCATTTGCACAGGAGCTAATGTTAACCTCATTCGGAAAGATTTAGCTCAACAATTTAAAGAAAAACTCATTTGGACGCCATCCTATGTTACCCTCCAGACTGCCTCTGGTGATGAAATCGACATCTCTGGGAAGTTAAACCTTAACATCACGTCTGAGAGTGCCGCCTATTACCACACGGCATATGTGACAGATATCACATATCCCTGCATACTCGGGTTGGATGTTTTAAGGAAATACAATTTTTCCTTGGACTTCAAAACCAACAAACTGCTTTGCAGAGCAACTATCCATCATCAGAACGGATTCTCACCTGGGAACGCCGACGCCTTGTCTTAAAGACCCTGCTCAGAAAGTTAAAGAAATCATATTAGAGTCGAAGAGAAATACAAGGCTACCGGTTATTCCCTATCTCACATGCTCTTCGGTCGTGAGATTCGTCTGCCTTGTGATCTCTAGTTTGGTCGCCCTCCAGATGCGCTTTCATGGCCTGAGGAACATTCAAGATCTTCAGGCCCGGTTTGAAGTGATGCACAATCTTGCAGGAGAGTGAGTCAACTTGCCAACGGAGAAGATAGACCCGATACGACACTAGAGCTACTGGATATCGATTCAACGAAGCCGACAAGGTGTGGTTGTGGGATTCGACTCCACGAAAGGACTCTGTTATAAACTACAGTCACCTTGGGATGGTCCATACACAATCCTAAAAAGGCTGAACGACGTCGTGGTTCGGATCCGTAAGTCATCGAACTCTAAGCCCAGAGTCGTTCATTACGAAAGGCTAGCTCCTTACTGTGGCCATAGTACCTATGTAATTGTAAATAGTATAAGACCATGGTCCTTTTTGTTTCTAAATGTGTACTTGATTTGATTTGTATTTAATATTTGATTTGTTTAAAGTTATTTATTGTAGTTATTGTTTGTGTTGTTATTGTAATGTTTATTATTGCATCTATGACTTAGTTGTAAATTTGACTACCTGTCCAGGAATTGTACTGCCCGGGACATGCAGTCCTTGCGAAGGGGTCAGTTTTTCGGTTTTTGTATTTAGTTTGCTTTTTTTTTAGTAAAATTTCAATTAAATTGTTTCCTTTTCCCGTGCAATGATGCTCGCGAAGAGTTTTAAGAGAAAACTACGCCGAAAAATTAAAAATACAGGAGCACGCGCATTTTAACATTTAATAAGTAGATTTCTCGTAATTGTACTCTTTGGCTTTCCAGAAACTTCGAGAAAATAACAGAATGTTCTCGTTCATTATTAAAAAAAAGCTTATAAAATCCTGATTAAAACTTCTCAGTTGAGTTGTTTGCTTAGTTCTTGTTGTTAGTTGTAGCGAATTCGCGATGAGATCGGATTAGCTTTCTGTTAAACGTTTAAATAGTTTAAA